TCTCTCTCTCTCTCTCCTAAAAATAAATAAAACATTAAAAAAAAAAAAAAAGATGAGGGGTAGGAGCACCTAGGTGGCTCAGTCAGTTGGATGTCCAACTCTTGATATGGGCTCAGGTGCTGACCTTGCAGTCATGAGATCGAGCCCTGCATCGGGCTCTGCGCTGATAGCACAGAGCCTGCTTGGAATTCTCTCAGCCTCTTTTTTTTTTTTTTGATGTTTTATTTATTTATTTATGAGAGAGAGAGAGAGACAGGGTGAGCAGGGGAGGGCCAGGGAGGGAGGGAGACACAGAATCCAAAGCAGGCTCTAGGCTCTGAGCTGTCAGCACAGAGCCCGACACAAGGCTGGAACCCACAAACCATGAGATCATGACCTGAGCTGAAGTCAGAAGCTTAACCGACTGAGCCACCCAGGCGCCCCACTCTCAGCCTCTTTCTCTGCCCCTCCCCTACTTGTACACACACACACACACTCTCTCTCTCACAATAAATAAATAAACACTAAAGGAAAAAAGAGTGTTGCTAGGTGACTTACTCAGAGAATAAGATGTAAAGGTGACGGATTTTAAGAAGAATTAGCTCAGCTCTGGGCTCTGTCCTACCTTTCAAGGCCTGCTTTGTTGGTCTGGACACCAGGGATGGGCCAGGTATCTTTCATGAACAGGGGACTCCACTACTTATCAATGGCATGACCTTGGACATGTAGTTAAGCTCACTGTGCTTTTGTTCCCTCCGCTTTAAAATGAGTGATACCATAGTGCCTACTTCATAGAGATGGTGTGAGGATTTCTTAAAGTACACAAGTGGTGCGTACAGAGCAGTGCCTGCCACGTAGCAAGTACTCAATAAGCACTACCTATTTAACGTCTAGGGGGGAATCAGAACTATAATTTAAACTGAAAGAGATTATAGCAAAGATCATTTGTCTTCCTCGAAAGCTCTGGTACTTTGAATCAAATACGCTCACCAGATGACATGAAGAATACATTCGTTCATTCAACACGTACTGAATGCCTGTTGAGTGCCACGGGAGGGAAACGGGCCCAGTTTCCTTCTTTCTTACGGAGCTCACAGTCTAGGAGAAGAGGCAGGCAGAATGAAAGGTGGGTGCTGTCTGTAATCACAGATTTGATGAGTGTAACAAAAGTAAAGGACAGAGAGTGTACAACAGTGCAGGTCACGTTACTAGCACTGCTAGTGCATTAGGATACCCCCTTTCCTCCCTTCCTCCCTTCCTCCCTTCCTCCCTCCCTTCCCTCCTTCCTTTTGCTCCAGTCAATGAAGGGGAAATGTTATTGAGGCCCCAGGGCCTTGGGCTTGGGCAGGAGGCCGCCCTGCAGGCAAAGGAAGAGCAGTGAAGGGCCTCATTTGACCTTCTTCTTGGGGAGCAAGTTATTGGTGTGGCCGCACTTCTTGCCACAGTTGACTGCGCGGGGGTGCAGGCGAGCATAACACTTGCGGCAGATCATCTTGTCGCAGTTGTTTCTGAGCCAGCTGGCGGAGGGGAGGCTCAGTGACACTGCCCGCAGGAGAAGCACCAAGGGCAGGGTGGACTCCTTCAGGATATTGTAGCCTGACAGAGTACGGCCGTCTTCCGGCTGTTTGCCAGCAAGAATCGGATGCTGCTGGTCAGGTGGGATGCCCTCCTTGTCTTCGATTTTGGCTTTGACATTCTCAGTGATGTCACTGGGCTCAACCTCAAGGGTGATGGTCTTGCCCCTTAGGGTCTTCACAAAGATCTGCATCCCTGCGTCTGCTGGCTCATGCGGACAGTTCCGGGCTGTCTTCTCTGCTACCGGGACGCCCGCGGCTTCCCACACCAGACCCTGGTGTGGCCCGAACCCGCAGCGCCACTGCCTGTCCCACTACAGTTTCTAATTGCAGCTCACCTATTGCCTATGCTTAAGAGGAAGGGAAGACCAGGGGTACCTGGGTGGCTCAGTCAGTTAAGCGTCTGACTTCGGCTCAGGTCATGATCAGGTTTGTGGGTTCGAGCCCCACATCGGGCTCTATGCTGACAGCTCAGAGCCTGGAGCCTGCTTCATATTCTGTGTCTCCCTTTCTCTCTGCCCCTATAATATTTGCTTGTTCTCTCTCTCTTTCTCAAAAATGAATAAACATTTAAAAAAATTTTTTAAAATAGGAAGGGATGATCAGCCCCTCCCAATCTTCTTCACTCATTTACCCCTTCACTCATGAGTCATCAGCAAACATTTGCCTGATGCCCTTTGGAATGAGGCTGCTGTCCTGGGCTCCGAAGACACACGCACACAGGAGTAAGACACGCTTCTCCAGCTGGGAGGTTTACAGCAAAGTCAGGGAGAGACCAGGATGCATCTACAGCAACAGCTCCTCCTCCCGCTGGCTCTCCTCCCTGAGAGGGATCGTGAAACTTTGATGAGTCCATGAGAGAGGCAGCTAAGCACCATTTCCGCTGGCCCGGATTTAGCATCAGGATGATGCCGCAGGGACTGAAGGCACAAACTTGCTGCTTTGGCTGAAAGGGACTAACAGTCATGGGGGGCCTTCTCCTTGGAGGCCCGAGGGAGAAGTTAAAGACCCCTGAGGAGGAGGCAGGGGAGGAACACAAGAAGCCAGATGGTGCTCGCCAGAGACTTCCCGAGGAAACTGAGTGTGAACAAGCAGCCGTGCTGCGGTGGAGATATGTAGCACGGCTTGGAAAATAACAACTGTTTCAGAAAATTGGAAAGGCATTAACATGCTGAGAAGCCGATCCTGATGCGCGGGAACCAGGGCCTGCGCGGCAGTCACAGGGACTGTGACATTTGCCCTTCTCTTGGATCCTGCTGCCAACAGCAGCGACCAGCCAAGCAGTAGAATTAAAAAAAAAATTTTTTTTAATGTTTTATTTATTTCTGAGAGAGAGAGAAAGAGAGAGAGACAGGGTGAGCAGGGGAGGGTCAGAGAGAGAGAGGGAGACACAGTCTGAAACAGGCTCCTGGCTCTGAGCTAGCTGTCAGCACAGAGCCCAACGTGGGGCTCAAACCCACGAACCGTGAGATCATGACCTGAGCCAAAGTCGGACACTCAACCGACTGAGACACCCAGACGCCCCCCTAGCAGTAGAATTAATACAACCTGTGGGTTCCACTTTTGTCTCTATTCAGGTTTTCAGTTGCACCATATTGAATGCCTTCTGAGTGCTAGGCACAATGCTTGGTCCTATGGGTAGATACGGGTTCCACTGGCTTTTCAACACCCCCAATTCCTTTGGGTACCTGTTCCTTCCCTGTCCAAATCATGTGATGCCATGGGGTCATCCATTACAGGTTCATATCCTCCTGGTCATGAGATGGTCATGACATTCAGACTTGATCATTCTTTATTATTTTTTCTAATGTTTATTCATTTTAGAGAGATAAAGCATGAGCAGGGGAGGGGCGGAGAGAGAGAGAGAGGGAGACACAGAATCTAAAGCAGGCTCCAGGCTCTGAAGTGTCAGCACAGAACCTGACACGGGGCTCAAACTCAGAAGCCGTGAGATCATGACCTGAGCTGAAGTCGGAAGCTTAACCTACTGAACCACCCAGGTGCCCCAGACTTGATCAGTCTACCCCTTTCCCTGGTGGCCAAGATTGGTCTTGGGGTGGTCATGTTAGACCAGACCTGAGCTGGACTAGTCAGAGACTTTTTCCAACCCAGGTGTGATAGCTTTGTGGTGAACTACTGTACTGAACTGTATTTCCCAGGATTCCCTTTCCAGTATGCTTTCAGACAGGGCGGGCTATAAGAGACATTCTCTTGCGAGATGTGAAGGACAGAAGGGAAGCAGTAGCCATCTTGCAGCATATATATACCTTCTCCCAGTTATTCACTCAAACACTAATTTGGGTGCTACTATAGAGGGATTTTGTAGAGATAGCTAAAGTCCTGACCAATTGACTTTAGGTTAGGGACATTATCCTTGGTTGGTCTAACTTAATCAGTTGGGAGTCCTTCAAAGAAGGTTTAGGCCTTCCCTGGACAATAGCTCATATCCGTGCCTGTGTGTCCAGCCTGCTTCTGAATTTCCCTTCTAAAAGCCTGCTCTCTGGATTTCTTATGGTCTTAGCTAGCCAGCTCTTCATGATAAATCTCTAGTGTGTGTGTGTGTGTGTGCATCTGTGTGTGTCTTACTGATTCTGCTTCCCCGGTTGAACCCTGACTGGTACAACAAAAGGCAGGGTTTTATGTTTGGGTTATTATTACAGTCTGCTAGTTGCCCCATGCATCTATTTTCTTCTCCCATTATACTAGAACTTTTCGCTTTTCATGGCCACCCTGAGGTTCAAAAGTCAGAAAGTAAGTATTGACCCACCCAAGAGAAGTAAGAAGAAATAGCCACAGAAAAATTTGCACACTAATATTTGTAGCAGTTTTTTCATTGTAGCTAAGAATTAGAAACAAACAAACAAAAAAAAGCTAACTGTGCATCAAATAGTAAATGGGTAAATGGACCATGGACATCCATATATTGGGGTTAATACCGAGCAATAAAAAGAAACAACCACCATTCACAATACAACATGGATGAATCTCAAAAGCATTCAGAAGCTAAGCGAAAGAAACCAGTCACAAAAGGAAGGCCACGTATTTGCAAATCCTATATCTGATAAGAAAACTGCAGCCAGATATATACATGCCTCTTACAACACAAAAATAAAGACATGAGACTTAATGGAAAAGTAGCCCCCCCCAAATCTGAATAGAGATGTCCCCAGAGAAGATAACACACATGCCAATAAGCACATGAAAAGATGATCAACATCAACAGTCATTAGGAAATGCAAATTAAACCCACAATGAGATACTATCTTACTCCTACTAGAAAGGCTAACATTAAAGAAGACTAACAATAGCAAATGTCCACAGGGATGCTGAGACTGAGAATGGAACTTCTGTGAAATGAGTACCTTCCCCAAGGCAGAAAGAGGAAGTGGGTTTATCAACAGAGAGAGGAGAAGTAGGAGATCCTTCATATTTCAGAAGAGGAGAGACTCTGGAGAAGTCCACAGGCAGCTGCTTCAGCAGCTGCTAAGTGGTAAAGGAAGGTCCAGACCAGTAAACAGGGTCATGAACCAACCACGTCATCCATGTCCCGTAAGAGAGCCGGGCCACACCACTGTGACTTGCAGGCTTGGGTTGCAGAGTGGGAAGAAGAGCTTGAAGAAGTAGTAGGCATGAGGCAAGCTCTGGAGGAAGACCTGGATGTATTGCTGGGTACAAAGGACCTCCCCAGAGCGAGTGCATTGCAGTGGGAAGAGGCTGAGAGCCCAGGAGGATGGGGTGGGCTGGATGAGGAGGTGGGCCTGTGGTCCCTCCCCCAAGCTACCACCCTTTCTCCTCCTTCTCCAGTAAGAGTGGGATAACAGACATCTTCACTCAGGATATTAGAACAGTTAGTTTCTCAGGCTAAAAGCCCGTAGTGTAAGAACAATGATTGTAATTGATTTATTGTGAGTGTAATTCATTGGATATAAGCATAAAATGGTCTTATTCTTTCTAATAACTGGCCCTGGATAAAGTTCCTGTTGAGCCCGCCCTTTCTCACTATGGGCCAGGTACCTTGTTACCCCATTTTGACCACAACCTATTAGCTTCCATCATTCTTGGTTACTAAAATAATTCAAAGATGGCATTTAAAATTCAATCTTTATCATTAAAATGTCTTTATTCTTGAACTAGGGTGGAGGTTCTTCTTGGAAAACTGTTCAGTTTCACTTCCTCCCCTGAAAATCATTCAGCTCTGCTACCAATACCTGTCATCCATCCATTCTCCAGATGTGGTGTCTTATTGACCTTGAAATGTCCCTGGCTTTCATGCTTTTAATAAACTTTGAGCTCCTTCATAACGATAGAAACCACTGGGCACCTCTTCCATAACCCACGACAGCCACAAATGCTCATTTCATAACCCAGGTTGGGCTCCCTAAGAAGCAGTGTTGCCAGATAAAATATGCCAACTATACTTACTAGAATATTTTTCATTGTTCTTCTGAAATTCAAATTTGCCTGGTAAACCTGTGGCTTTACTTGCTACATCTGGCAACTATAATAGAAGCAAACTCTGAGGTAGAGGCGTGCATGCGGAATGTTTATCGGGGAAGTACTCTGAGGGTTGATGCCTGTGGGAGAGTGAAGCCAGCGGGGTGGGCAGAGAAAGAAGTTGGACTGAGATGCCATCACAACAAAGCTCTCAACTCACCTCTCCAGGGTGCTCTGGAGCCAGGATGACACTTCGGAATCGCCCTGCATTGAGGGGAAGGTGGCTGGGGCTTCATACTCCCAAAATGACCAGTCACTGGATGTGGGCTGACCCTGGAAGGTGTGACCTTGGGCAGAGCAGTGTCCTTCAGCAAGGTCAAATCTGGTATGAGAGGCTCAGCTGAGAGCTGTAAACTGCCAGCAAGTCCAGCAGATAGAAGTTACACCTCTATCAAGTGGACACCAGGTGCCATTGGAACTCATCATACCGAGCTTTCCAGTGGATCAGACAACAACCAGCAGCAGAAGAATTTGAATTGTCCTAAGGGCGAAGGGCAAGAAGCCAAAGTAAAGATGAAAATAAACAAAAACAAAAACAGAAATCTGCACTATAACAGATTGAACTAAGTTTGTGAGGGAAACAATGGTTTTGTTTGAACACACCCTCACCTATGATATCGTGGGTATAAAATGTGCACAGTTTATTTTATTTTTTTAAAATTTTTTATTTATTTCTGAGAGAGAGACAGAGAGACAGCGTGAG